GGGGCACCGCAGGGCGCCCGGCAGCTGTGACACCCGTGGGAGTGGGACGGGGAGGGATTTTCGAGGTGGAAAAGGGAATTAGGAGATGTAGAGGAGCTTTGCTCTTGCTGGGGGAGCTGGGGCAAGCTGGGGACGGGCCAGGCGCCCGCAGACCGTCTTGAAAGGGGGGGCACTGCTGGTGGGGCTTGATTTTCACGGAGATGGCGCTGACTGGTCTGTTTGCCACAGCAAAGCCCCCCCCCGGTATGCCCCATGGTGATATCTCTGTGCTCAGGTGTTAGGAACCTGGTGTTATTTTTCCTAATCAGTATGAATATCGACTCAATTACAGCTGACTGACACTGCAGACAGAGCAAATCACAGGCTCCCACGCAGAATAAATTGTATTGCCTGGCTTTAAATACCAAGTGGCATAAACCTGCCAAAGAGTGGTGCCAATTTTGTTTTATTAATAAAACTGTTATGCAGGAAATGGACAGCAAAGAAACATCTCCAAATATCCAGCCCCCACCCCCCAGTACAATAACTTTTAATCTGGAGAGAGCTGGAAACCCAAATTACTTTCTCCGTGCCGCAGAGCTGCCCTTTGCCACACCAGGGATGTGAGACAGAGGCGTGGGGTGCTCTGCACCCCGCAGCGCTGCCCCGGCCCCTGACCTCGGCGCTACAGCAGAGGTTTTCCCACTTTCAGCCCCGTCAGCTCCCCAGCTCTCCCGCCTTTGGGTCCCGTCCAGCACCCAGTGTGCAGGCGAGCGGAAAGGGGTTTCCACTGCCCGGTTGCTTCGCTGGTTTTGTCTCGCCGGGTGGTTGCCCGTCCGTTTGGCCGTGCACATGTGTGTAGTGCTGAACACCGATGAAAATCGCGGCTTGGCACAGCCCACAGCCTCACAGGCCAGCAGTGCCGGAAGTTTTCATCGAGCATAAATAGCGTTACAGGCAAAAAGTCAGCCCAAGGACAGAGGCAGGAACTCAGGCCTAGGCAAGAGGCATTTCTTCCACTTGGCAAATGTGTGGGAGTTTTCTGGCTTTTCTGGGATGACACGAGCTTCCTTCCCCGGGGGGGAAAAA